ACCTCTCGAATTCTGCATAGGCCCAAGTGACTAGTGAATTTGACAAGGCTTGGTGCTGAAGGCCTATTTTCATCCTCAACATCCGGTGGCACAATTTTAAGAAGCTTCACAGATAAAGCAATAGACATATGATGGAAAAGTTTTATCACGTGTTTCCATTGTGACAATAGGGGAACGTTCTATACAATTTCACACTTGGTTGCTCTCTTTGCTACATAAAGTTCAAAATCGCGAGAACGGAGAGCTTAAAAACGATGGTTATTAAAAACTTGGAAGTGCAGAAATGCCTATGCGTTATCGAATGGCTAAAGGTTGTCACTTCTAACTCCCTGACACCTGAATTTTATTTTTCAAATCGTTTCTAAAGTGCATTATTTTTCTTTTGAATTTTGGACTCTGGACACAATGGTTGAAAGATTGCAGAATTTTGTCGTTTTTAGCCCCAGAAGTCAAGAGAGTAGTGGTGGTCCGATTAGGGACTCATACACGGAAGGCGCAAAGCTTCGAATACACCTTAATCGTCAGCGCAAGCACCGAGCACGTACAAGTCAACTCGACACCAATGATTCCATTGGTTCGATGGCTGCTACTTCAACTCTCAATTGCATTGTCGAGGTGGAGGATGGGAATTCGCCCACTTGTGTGACCCCACCAGTGGTTTCTCCAAAGCCTAAGATTTCTATCCGGTCTTCTTTCTCGGATTTCGGAAGCAAAGTGGAAGAGGTGTCACCGAAGTCACGATCCCCCTCGTCAATTGATAGTGATGCTTCTTTCAAAGACTTTGAACCACAATGGAAATCGTCATTCCACCATAGCCAACGTAGCTCTACAGCAGAGAATGTCTATCTTGATGACGAACATGAAGTTTTTGAAGAGATGAAGGAAGTGTAAGTGATTATACTCTACTTTTTTATCTGGCTAACATGTAACCCATTATTTATTCCTTCATTGGCAACTTGAATTTAACCATCCACTCACTTCTTGCAGCACGTAAGTAGGCACAATACGCCCTCTAAGAGCAGAATGGGTTGTCTGTACTTCTTAGCCTAACGTTAATTGGACTTGTGCATGTCTTCGGTGGTATGAATGAAATAGCTCACGCAACAAATCAGCGGTAGAACTATTAGATATCCCCCTCCGCCCCCTCCTCCCCCTGGTAATTTAATAAGCACGGTTTGAGAAAAGATTATTATTACTGTTCCTATGACCCACAAATTAGCTCTATCATAACTCCACGTAATTAGAACGCCTTAGTTATCACTTCTCTCTTTATGTGCTCCTTTTTCAGACAGCGCCTTATTGCCTTATTGGGTGCATTTGCTTCATCTGTCAACTACTGCCTAACGCCTTTGACATGCGTCGGTGCCAATTCGGTACTGTCACATTACCTTTCCCATAACCCGTTTTTTGCGGACGTACAGTTTTGTTGAAAGTTTACATTCAAATTCACTACATGGTAGGGCTTAGTCCCTGTTCACGGTGGGTTCGACACTAAATAGATGATTTTCATGCCATGCGTTCCACATGTGTGACGGCGGATAGTCTATTCGACCTTGTCCGATGGACTGTGCAGTTGACGTGGTTACAGCTTCACGTGGTTACTACCGATATGGAAGCAGCTTTGTATCACATAGGCTATGTTTTTTTTCGCATTTCACTGAAATTGCTTCACTACTGTCACACACACACACACACACACACAAACCTGCTTATGCCTCCACAACCGCTTCGTTGTTTAGCAGTCGCTCAAAGCCGTTACAACAAGGTGATACCTTACGTCATGAGAACTCACCTCGAAATTCGCCTCATGGTGGTGAAGTGAGGAGCGAAGACTACATCTGGTTGTCAAGTAGTAATGAATCGCCTCAAAATCGAGCGTTTAAAGACGATGATCGGTTAAAGAAATTATCCCACAACATTCTCAATCGGCCAATGTCTATGTGTCCGACGTCGTCGGCAGCTATTCCTCCATTTGTCACGCAAAAGGTGACTCCACTGCCCTCGAGATTAATAGGAGTGGAAGGTGGTAGTAGGAGAGAGACTCGATTGTCCCCATCGTTGGGAGAGGATCCTCCTACCCTATCTGTGCCA